GATCACCTCTAAGGCTGCTCACAGTGGTTTTCCAGGCGGGAACAAAGGAAGAGGAAGGAAAAAGCGCCCGTGTGGTCCGGAGCAGAGAAGCGTCTGACACCTTTTTGTAATGCCCGTTCCCGTCGTCAAAAGACATGATTCAACACTTCGAACTTCCCTTGCGAAAGGGACATCCACGTGTGCTTGTGCAGAGATGAGAGTGCAGGACTATATGTGTGTGTGTGTGTGTGTGTGTGTGTGTGTGTGTGTGTGCATGTTTGCGGGTATGCACTCGCGGGTGCGCATCCACGTGTACGTGTGCATGTGCGTACATGTATGCGTGTGCAATGATTGCTCGTCACCAACAGCCGACGCCTTTCATCCTGCAGCACCAAAGCTGTTCGTCTCTGATTCCTTGTGTCCTTTTCGCTGCAATGACACCGTGTGCAGGTTGGAGCAGTTTGAGGCGGATTTGACGGCGTTGGCGGGCGTGTTCCATAAGAAGCGGCGCATGTGGGGCAGCGTGCTGTGCGAGAAAGCGCGCTCGTGGGCGGAGGCGGGCCTCTCCGTCGACACGCAGCTGCTGTCAGACGCACTCGCGCATCTGCAGACAATCACGGTGGAGTTTGGCATGCGCATAATCAAGGACTACGAAAGCATGCAGCGCGCCGGCTATCGCTTTGCTCGTGCACGCCAGGTCTTGTTTGTTGTGTGTTGTGGAAAACGTACGCGTTGTACGCGTTGTACACGTTGTAGATGTCGTGTGTGTGTGTGTGTGTGTGTGTGTGTGTGTGCGTGTGTGTGGGTGTGTGTGTGTGTAAGTTACCTGACTCCACTCGCACCATCAACACTCACCATCACACGCGTGCACATGGTTTGCTGTTGCCTTTGCAGATCAAGCAGCTGCTTGCCGATGCGTTGCGCATGTGCAACGACTGCCTAGCACTCGGTATTGCAAACAACGAACGCATTCTTGCGCACGCCATGTCCATGTTCGTGCACACACTGCGACTTTCCCTGGACATGTACCAGCACACCTTCCACGAGCAGCCGCGCGCCCTCGTCACACAGCACTTTGAGGACATTATCAAGGCCATGCAAGAGCTGCGGGTACGTATGCGCGTGGACATGCAACGTGATTGTGTGTATGTGCAATGTGTGAGCTGTGTGTGTATATGTGTTGATAAGCAAGCAGAGGAACACAGGCCTCTCTCTGCTGTGCAACGTAGTTTATCCTCTCACATCATGGCATGTACACGAATGCAGGATGTGTGTCAAAGAGTGCCACATTCCAACACGGCTGGCATGAGCTACCAGCACGCCAAGAACGCAAAACTGATTGAAGTTGTTGCCACACGCCCCGACGCGGCCGACCTCTTGTTCCAGTGCAGCAGGTGCGTGAGGGCTGTTTCCTTTGCTGCGTGGTTTTGTAGCGTTGCATGTGTTGAGGGTGTGTGTGTGTGTGTGTGTGTGTGTGTGTGTGTGTGTGTGTGTGTGTGTGTGTGTGTGTGTGCATTGAAATGCATTGTGGGATGTCAAGTTAAACTCCCTCACGGCCGGTGTTGACGCTCATACTGCCATGACTTGTGTGAACAACAATTGCTGCCTTGCAGGACACTGATGCAGCACATTATGCAAGCGAGCAAGGGCGAGCACACTCAGGACAACAAGAAGAACAACGCAAAGCACAGCGAGTGAGTCACCTGCTGCAGCTCTAGTGTGCGCGTGTGTGTGAATGAGTTTGGCAGTTGAGGTTGAAGCTGCACGTTCCAGCACCATAATTTTACGTGTGGGCACTCCCAGCCAGTCTCTAACACGCAAATGCCATTACTAATCACCACACCACGACGCAGGTCCAAGGATTTGATCCTTTGGCTGATGTTTGCGTGCAAGTTTGTCAACCGCACACTGGAATGCATGGGCCCAAGTATGCACACACTCGCGCGCGCACACACGCAGCAGCGAGTGCGCATTCATGTCAAACACACACACACACACACGCACACACACATACACACACACACACACACACAAATGCATGTGCATAAGCACTCGCACTTGCGCAAACATGCAAAGTGAAATGCGTCATTGCATGCATGCATGAATGTATTGAGCTGCTCGCTCCATTCGTTGCCACGACTCATGGCATTCACATGTGCTTCCCCTCCTTCACAATCGCTGCCAACACACGTGCAGATGCAACCGGCAAGGACGCCCGCATGACGGAGATTCTGCAAACGCTGGAGACGATGGAGGTGCAGCTGCCAGACAACACCAACATCGGGGAGAGCGCCCTCTGACATGATGACGGCAACAACAGACCACACCAGACACAATTGACCAACTCTGACTGCTGTCCAACCAACCAACCAACCACACAAACAACAACCAAACAACACAAACAAGCAACCAAACAAACAACACAAACAAGCAACCAAGCACGAATCGTTGTTTGCGTGCGCACACCAATGACCGCTAGCTTTTTCTTCGCGTTATCATGACCCGTTCTCTGCGTTTGCTTCCATCTCTGTCCCCAAACAGAAAGTTTGCTCTCATTCACCACAGTAAAACTTCCCGCTCATGCAAACAGAGCCAAGCGCAGCATGCAAGCAAGCAAGCAAGGTGCATTGCATTGGTCTTCACTGCCGATCTTGTTCTCGTTCGTGCGTTTACAGCAGGAACCACCGCCGCACCATCACCATTGATCACGCCATCCACAACAAACACACGCACGCACCAAAACAGCGGCAACATTCTGCACAATCACCAGAAGTAACTTCATCATCACCACCACCAGCGAACCACGAGCACAAACGCCACAAGCACAAACAGCACAGGTACACACACGCAGCGCGGGTACAGCGGGTGGCTGCTCAGTCCATGCGCGCCTTCAGTTCTCTGGTTGTGATCTTGTCCTTCTCACTGCGAGGAACACAAGAGGAGAAGCAGCAGCAGCAGCACAAGCAGGAGGATGAGGATGAGCGCAACGAAAAAAAAAAAAACGAAAAGCGCAACAGCTCAAAGTGTACAGACACACAGACACACACGGCACACACACGGCACACACACAACACATACGCACGCACACAAAACACACACACCACATACGCACGCACACAAAAACACGACACACAACAACACGTGTGTGTACGCACATGATGTGGACAATGGCGCCCCAGCCGGCAAGGCAGTCGCGGTCCACGGCGTTCATCAGCGCCTGCGAGATGGTCTCAAACAGGTCATCCGGCGCCTGACATTATGGAGTGACGCGCAACAAAGCATGCCGGCGTGAGTAAGTGCATTGAGGGATGCAAGCACAACTGCAAGGATGCTGCGGCTGGAAAACCGCTGCACGTTCATGCAACGACTAGCTGCTGAAGGACACGCGCCGTACACGCACGCAAACAAACACACGCACACGCACACGCACACACACACACACACGCACACACACACACACACACACACACACAAACAAACGGACACACAGAGCACACGCGAAATGACGCACCATGTCTGGCTTGTAGAGGGATTCGCACATGCCGTACAACTGCTCTGAGCTTGTGCCGCCAACAACGAAATCGGACGTCTCCATCGGGCAGCCAATGAGGTCTGTGCTTGCGACGTACGGCTGGTTCTTGGAATCGAGGCCCGCCACAACGGGCTCAACAAAGTACGGGCCAAACCTGCAAACACAACACAAGTGTGCGAGCGGCCAACCAACATGCACCGCAATGCGCCACACATTAGCACCAAAACAAGCACTGTCGATGCAACAGGCAAAACTTATGCTTCTACATCTTCCATGCACACACACACACACACTGGCGGACCTGCGCTCGTAGAGGAAGGAGGAGACGAGGTTGATCATGGTCTTTGGCTCAATGTCCCGCTCTTCGCGAAGCGTGTACATGTTCAACCGGAACTTGAGGCGCTGGGACCTGCGCGCACCGACATGCCAACACATGAGTCCGCTTCAGCGCAACACCAGCAAACAACAGCGAAAACAAAGGAACCATCGACAAGCCCTATTGCGGTTCACACACAGACACAAACACAGACAAACACAAACAACCAAACAACCAAACAACCAAACACACACACATACAAACATACAAACAAACAAACATCAAGTTGGGTCGACGTGACGTACACAGTGATGGCGTCCGTGCCGAGGCCGGGAAGACCCACGAACAGCTTGGGTCCCATCTGGAACACCTTTTGAAAGTCTGTGGACACGGTCTGTGCCTGGGCGCCGAGCCGGCGATCCGCAGCGATGGCCACGCATTCCTTGCCAGTCATTGCCACAACGGCACTGCCGTTGTACTCCATAATCGACTGTCACGCCATTGCGAGTTGTTGTCGTGTGGTGTTAGTGTGTTGGATATGAGTGATGAAGCTGCTTGTGGCTGTTATCAACGACGCGCGCGCACACACACACACATACACACACACACACACACACACACACACACACACACAGAGCACTCACGCACCATGGTTGAAGGTTTGCTTGGATTGGATTGGATTGGATGGATTGGATGGACGACAAGATACAAACACACCACCACAGGCAGGTCAGCAAAGTGCAGCAACCGCCAAGCAAGCAAGACAAGCGAAGTCGACCAAAATCGAGCAAAGGCAAAATTGACTTGTATGGGGTGGGAGAAAGGAAAATTTGCCTTCTACCTGAAACCCCAAGCTGTACAAGCCAACGAAGCAGGAATATCCCGCAAAGATATTCGCGGTGCTGTAGAAGCCAAGTTGTTGTTTGTTTGCTCGCCTGGTGTTGAGTGTGTGTCCATTCAGCGCAAGAGAGTACCCTGTCAGCACACACTCCAAAGCTGGTTGAGCAACGTGTGACCCTCTGAGTTCAAAACACGCCAAACAACCCACAAGCCAGGCCTGACAGGACAACAGCGAGAGCAGAGAGCAGAGAGCAGAGAGCAGAAAGTAGAGAGCAGAGATGGATGCCAACGTTGCGTCTGCGGTGCAGACGGTGCAGATGCTGCGCGCTCATCAGCTTCCAGATGATCAGCCTTGCATCGAAGCGTCGTCGTCCACCGTCAACTACGAAGCATCCTTCGACACCAACTTCCAGGACCGTGAGGGCTTCGTCTCAGGCATTGCCCACTACGTCGAAGAAGCGCAAAACCTCGGCACCTTGGTGAGCAGCACCTGAGAGAGAGAGAGAGAGAGAGAGAGAGAGAGAGAGAGAGAGAGAGAGAGAGAGAATGAGAGCAGGGTGTGAGAGAGTGAGTGTGCGTGTGCACGTTTTTGAAAGTTTGTGTGTGTGTGTTTGTGTGTTTGTGCGTGATAACTGCCTACATACTTCCTGTGCCAAGACCTGCTCTGCCGCTGTCCTGCCCTCTTCCCTCCGCCTACTTCCAACCGCTTGCGCTCACCACCGTATTCTCCGATCACCAGAACGACATGCTGGAGCAAGGCCGACAGTATGCGGGCATGTTGTACACGTGGAGATACATCTCCCGAGGTGTGCCGCAGGCAAGCAGCGACGACCAGGAGAACCGCACGGAGATCTACCGCATCACCGTCGACGTGCTCAAGCCACACATTGACAAGCTCAAGCAGTTTTACCTGTTCCAGGGCTCGGCCGTGCAGCGCTTCTGCGAGGAGGTGAAGAAGCTCTCCAACCCAGAGAAGCTCAAGTCGTTTGTGTCAGAGACCACAAAGATCACCCTCATCAAGATGATTGATCTCTTCGCCACCCTCAACGCTCTCAAGAACGCAAAGTCCAGCGTCAGAAACGACTGCTCCCTCTACAGGCGGTAAGAGCAGCTGTGCTCCGTGCTGTGGCGTCTGTGGCGTCTGTGAAGTGGGTTGTTCGTGCGTGTTTGCTTGGTGTGTTTGGTGCGAGTGTGCGTGTGCGTGTTTGCTTGGTGTGTTTGGTGCGAGTGTGCGTGTGCGTGTTTGCTTGTTGTGTTTGGTGCGAGTGTTTGTGTGTGCTTGCTTTGTTGTTCTGCTTGGTGCATGTATGTACACGACAATACCAGACGTGAGGTGGCCGCGGATATGTGGTGTCTGCCTCGCACAACACGGCAGCGTTGTACAATGCAGCAGTGTTGCCGTTTTCCGAGCATCCCATCCCGCCCACACACACACAATCGCCACCGTGCTCACTCGTGCCCCTGCTTTGCTCCACGCGCAGTGCGTTTGGCATCCTGAATGCGGGCCAGCCCACCAACCCGGAGGACGCCGACATTGAGCGCAAGCTCGTGTTCTTCCTCGGCACAGAGAACTGCCTGTGCAACGATGTGGTGACGGAGGTGCGCAAGATCCCGCACTACCTCGACGTCATGCACGAGCTGGCAGACACGTGCATCCGCCTGCTGGAAACAGACGGCTACGTTCTCCCCGACGAGAAGCACACCCTGCTCAAGGTCAGGCACTCGTTGCGCTGCGCTGCGGTGCACACTCATTCGCAGAAATACGAGATTTCACAGGAGTCAACAGAGCTCTATGAACTCACTTGCTTCACGTGCACACAGACACACACGCATACATACACTGTCCTTTCCTCACTACATTTTCCCGCTCGGCTGTCTAACACACACGCACTCTCTCTTTCGTTGAAACACACACACGCACACACCTCCCTCACCGTACTATCGTGACACGCATCACCTGCAATACCCACTCATACATACACCCTGTCCTGCTCTCCTGTTGACCTCATTGACCTCACGCATGTGTGCTCGTGCAGGCCATTTCGTTCATTGTGTACATCATGGACGACCCTGAGGAGAAGATTGGCATCTACAAAGTGAAAAAGTACAACCACCACAAGTACGACGCGCTCTTCAAGGTGCGAGAACTTGTACCTGTGACGCACGTGGAGATGCATGCGGCCATTCATACCTGCATGCCATGACGGCCTATCTCCAACTCCTGGCATCTCCTGATGGGCTCATCCCCCCTTTCTCGCATCTGCTTCGGTTCATGCTCGCTTGCCCTTGCTGCCACTCTTCTCATCATTCTTGTCGCCACTCTTTCTCGACGCAAATGATACGCTGTTGCTTGCCAACCATCTTGCCTTGTCTATCTGCGCCGGCAACAGGAGACGCCAGTTGTCCCGCTGTATGGCGACATGCACATGCAGCTGCTGTCGTTCGTGCAGATGGGCCCACACTACGACCGTGCCAAGTGGCCCCAGGCCAACGAGGCCCTCAGCTCGGAGCACATTGACACGTACCACAACATCACCGCGCAGCTGCCCGCCTTTGAGGCCGAGCGCGACGAGCTCGTCAGCTTGCTTGCCCTCCTCAGCACAAAGGTCAGCCTGGATGCGCGTGCACGTGTGTGTGGAGTGTGTGTCGTGTGTGTTGTGTGTGTGTAGTGTGTGCCGTGTGTGTTGTGTGTGTTGTGTGTGATTTGTGTGTATATCTGTGCGCGTGTTCTGGGTGTGCACGCGTCACAACGTGTGCGTTGGTGATCACGTGTGTATCCATATACATGTTGTCGTATTGTTTGTCGGTCTTCCTGCACCCACCTCCGTCTTTCTTCGTGAATGGCACCGCGAGCCGTTCTTCTCACCGTCTCCACCGCCTGTCGTTCCCTTCTCCCCAATGTGCCAGGATGTTGCTGGGCGGCTCGCTGTTGCCACAACGGAGCGCGCGAGCGACGTTGCTCTCCGCGGCCTCAAGACAGTCTCAAGATGGACCACCGCCATTCGCGAACTGGTGCGTGTGTGTTGTGTTGCTTGTGTGGTGTGTGTGCGCGTGTGTGTTGCGTGTGTGTTGCGTGTGTGTTGCTTGTGCATTGTGTGTGTGTGTTGCAATCTGTGCGTGTGAGTGCGTTGCAATCTGTGCGTGTCAGTGCGTTGGTGTGTGTGCGTGGGGGTACAAATACACTGCACGCTGTGCACAACTTGGTCTGCATCGTTGCTTGACACAGGCGATCGTTTTGCCACTCCACATCATACTCAAGTCGTGTCAATACCTCCCTTGTCCATGTGTGCGATGGTGCCACAACAGCACGGCTGGAAGCTGGCCAATCCAACAGACAAGTATCTCAACCGCAACTGCCCCGCCGATGCCGAGGATTACGAGCGCGTACGTCAGTGTGTGCGTGTGTGTGCCTGTGTGTGCGCGTGTGCGTGCTTTTGCTTTCGCGCGCGCGTGTGTATGCACACGTGCGTGTGTTTGTTTCCTGCGTGCCTGCCTGTTTGCAAGTACTTGAATACCCTCGGGACTACATGTGTGTGTCAACTACCACTACCACACAGCATCAATGATGTGCTGACGTGCTGATTCCACATTTCTTGCGTGCAGGCCGTGCGCTACAACTACTCTGCCGAGGAGAAGGCCGCCGTTGTTCAGGTCCGCGTGCGCGAGCCGTGTTGGTGCTGTTCTGCTGTTTGCTTCAGTTTGTGCCAACTCGCCTGATAGCGTTTGTGGGTTGTATGGTCAAAATGTCCGCGTGCGCACCACCGCCATATCACACGCACGCGCGCCTGCGTGCGACCCACACATTCCCCACTCACATACCTCCACTTCCTCGCCACGTTTGCTCCTGCTCACCCGCCGACCGTCGCATTAGATTGTGACGATGATCAAGGACGTGTTGCGGATCCTGTGGAAGATGGAGAGCATGCTCAACCTCGGCATCCGCGTGGAGATTTACAAGGAGACGCAGTCGTTTATCCAGCACAACGTTCGCGATATGGTTCGCCACTGCATCAAGAAGAAGAAGGCAAAGGCCCGCACGTGAGTTGACCAGTGAAAGGGAGATGGTTATGGTGCAGGCACATGTGTGCGTGCGTGTGTGCGTGCGCGTGTGAGCGTGCGTGTGTGTGTGCGTGCGTGCGTGTGTGCTTGCGTGTGTAGACGCAATGTGTTGTGTCATGGAGTATGCCTGCCCAATCACTGGTGGGCACAAGCGCGTGTGGTTTGGTTTGCGCTGTGTGTCGTGTCAGCTGTTGCCGCTTGCGAGCTGTTACTCTACATTCCACCACTAACACTATCACTGCTGCCACCGCCTGTGCCCAAACCGCCCCGTCAGCGTGCTGATGGGCCTGCGCAACACGTGTGCAGACTGGGCTGCTGGCTTTGAGCCCGAAGACGACCCGTACATGCGCGGCATCAAGGACACGGCGTACCAGCCCCCAGAGATTGGCAACAGGCACTGCGGGCCAGGATCAACGCAGGTGCAGCGCAATAGCAGTGCGGGCTGAGTGAAAGATGGATGGGGTATGATAGTGTGTGTGTGTGTGTTGTTTGCATTCCATGCGTTGTGTGCAATATGCGCGTGTGTGAATGTACGTTGCAAGTGTGAGTGTGTGTATGCAAGCTTGCATGCACGGACGTGTTATACATTCAATGAGACACAAACAGGCCCTCACCTTGAGCGTGTTGTGCATGTGCGCCTCTGCTTGATCCGACCAGCTGTTTATGATGCGAACGATGCTTGAGAGCCTGTGCGCTGACGACAAGAAGAAGAGTCTGAAACACGATCTTGACTCCAAGTTCCACGGGCCCATGCTCACCTTCTACAACTCCACAAAGCACTATTTCCACCTCCTCAACTTCAAATGTACGATAACAACAAATGAGACTGTGGTGCATGACTCACAACTGTCGTCGTCGTCGTCGTGGTGTGCATCTCTTTGCACTTGCGCATGAACCAATATTGTCTACGCAGCAGCAGCTGTAACTGTCCATGTCAGGTCTCCTCTTTACGAAAACTCACCGCCATCACCTTGCGCTTACCTTACGATATGTGTGTGCTTTGTGTGCCCAGCGTCACTGCAAGAGGCAGCTGATTTGTCGCAGCTCTGGTTCCGCGAGTTTTACCTTGAGCTCAGCAACGGCAAACATATCCAGGTGGGATCTGGGGGAAGGGCATGCTTGCATGCAAGCCGAATGGGCACCACTGCAGGGCACTAGAGAGTGACGCACTGACATGTCATGCTCTGCCCTGATTACACCACCTTCCTCACAAGAACCTGTACGCGGTTGTGCGTGTGTGTGCGTGTGCTGTGTAGTTCCCGATTGACATGTCACTGCCTTGGATCCTGGTGGACCATGTTCTCACCTCCCAAGACCCCGGCATGATTGAGTTCGTGCCGAGTGAAGCTCCTCTGTGCTCTGTGTGTGTTTGCTGGGATGTGTGTGTGTGGGGGGGGGGTGTGGATTGCACTGCCCTGTGCCATTGTGTAGGACAAACACGCGGCATTGTCGCTGATGGTCACAATCTCCACCGCTATCAACATTTCTGAAAACCAGACGTCTCATGCCACCACCACCGTTGGCCCCTATGTAATGTGTTAGGTACGCGCTGTATCCCATGGATCTGTACAACGACGCTGGCGGGTTTGCGCTGCGGGCGTTCCAGAAGCAGTATCTCTACAACGAGATTGAGGCCGAGGTTGACCTGTGCTTTGATCAGTTTGTCTACAAGCTCTCGGAAAACATCTTCCGCCACTACCGTTGCAAGGCTGCAAGGTGCGCACACATGCGTGGTGTTTGTACGCAGTGAGTTGTGTGTGCATGTTTGTTGTGTGTGTTGTGTTGTGTGTGTGTGTGTGTGCAGCGGCCACTTTCTGCTCTTGTGTTGTCCTCCTCCATTTTGTTCCTTTCACCAACTCGCCACCACCACTACTACCACCACCACCACCACCATCACCTCACAACAACCACAGCCAAGTGCTTGATGAGGAGTTCAAGGGTGATCCGGCCCTCAAATCCATCAACATCAACCAGTACAACAACGACGCGCACTATCCCTCCCTCATGCGCCAGCGTCACTTCCAGGTGCACTGCCCTCATTCTTCCCGATGCTGAGCGAAGACCGCATGCAAAGTTGTTGGTTAGCACTACAAACGACGTGCATGTCGATCACATGTGCCGCGTGCCATCACTCACACAACTCTTTGCCTTTGACGTTGTGTATCGTGCAGCTGCTTGGACGGTCCGTGAACATCCACCGGCTGTTGTCGCAGCGCCTCAACGCCAAGCTGAAGCAGGCCATCGACATTGCTATCGGCCGCTTCGAGAGCATGGATCTCACAGGCATCATTGTAAGCAGCGGCAACTATGTTCTGGAGACTGCGCACCTGTCTGCAGCTTCTCAAGCTCATCCGTTGTTTAACCACGTGCCGATTGACGCATTTTGCACTCACACACAAGCACTCACACCCTCGTCTATTCTTGAATCTTACTCACACACAAACACGCACGTGCACATGCACACCCAAACCAACCATACCACCGACCTCACGTCCCCTACGCTCCCCGCACTACCCCATTTTACCCGCTGCACGTAATGACAGGAGCTTGAGCTGTCGCTGAAAGTGTCGCGGGCAATGCACGAGATGCTGACTCAGCACCTGCAGCTGGACCCGTACGAGGAGCTGTTGAACGAGGCCAACAACTCGGTCACCTCGGCATACGGCCGCATCACGCTGCAGGTGTTTGCAGAGCTGTGCACGGACGTCATCCCTAACCACTGCTACAACACCGCCGATCGAAGGTGTGGTCTGCGCACATGGCGGTGACAGCACGAGTGTGTGTGCACCAGTGTGTGTGTGGGTGTGTGGGTGTGTGGGTGTGGGTGTGGGTGTGTGGGTGTGGGTGTGGGTGTGGGTGTGGGTGTGGGTGTGGGTGATTAGATGGATGGTCGAGTGACGGAAGCAGGTTCGCTGCTTGGGTTTGGAGTGTTGAGAACACTGCCAGTTTGTCAAAGGGCATATGTCTCACGTCCAACTTACCAACTGCTGCCCCTGTGCCCTGCTCGTGCCGCACGCACATCCACACAATCTCCCGCACGCCCTCATGTACTCATGCACACACTCGTGTACGCACTCGACTGCACGCACTCATGCAACCATGTACTCACTCTCTAACTCACGCTGTCCATGTGCAGGTTCATCCGACCGGAGCGGGCGCCCGTGTTTGGGGAGGGCGAGCCGCAGCGCGAGAGCGCCCCGCGTGCTGCCCCCGAGATGCGATTTGGCTCAAAGGTGCGGTGGTGATGACGGTGTTTCTGCTGCTGTCCAGCACACAGCCAGATGCTCACACATTCACATTGATGCACGCGTACATACACATGTTCTTACAAATGCAGTTCATATGCACTCAAGCACACACATGCATGCACAACACGTTCACTTGCACGCGCTTGAAACGCCGAGTGTTTGGCTGAGCGCTCGAGTGCTTGAGCACATTCGTTTTCGCTTGCACCTCCTCACAACAACCCTCCCACTGCTTCCAACTCATTCATGTGCTGATGGCGCGTGCAGCTGCTCAACACGGCGTATGCTGCGGTGACGGCGAAATTTACGTCCTTCTTTGGCGTGGAACACCTGTCCAGTGCTGTGCGGCTCCTCGAGTACCGCGGCGTCGCCCTCTGCATCGAGGAAATGCTCAAGATTGTCCAGGCCAACGTGCGCACACGTCCTGTCTGCACTGCGCTCGCAAGTGCATGTATTTGCATTGTGCGCGCGCGCGCGTGTGTGTCATGCATTGAGTAGGAATCATGTGGTTTGTTGGCATGTCGGTCACGTGCACATGTGTTCGCTCACACAAGCTCCTCGCCACCCCTCCCTCACCTGACACCTGAAAACTACTCCACCTGCGACAACACCCTCGCTCAGATTACGGACGTGCTTACCCCTTATGTGGCGAACCTGCTTGATGGCATGCCCAAGTCGTGCCGCCTCCCACTCATCGACTATGGTTCCGTTGGTACGTCTGCCACCCCTTTGTCTTCGTCCTCGTCATTGCTGTGCTTGTCGCACCAGCCTGTAACCACAAGTGTGTGTGCGTGTGTGTATGTGTGTGTGCCCTTGACGTGTTGTTCGTGCGCCGTGGTCTCTCACACACGTGTTTCGCTGCTTGCTCATCCCATGCCACGCGTGAATATTGTGCTGCCATTCATCTATGTGCATGCGTTTGCGCACGTCTGCTTGCTTGCCTGTGCATATGTTTGTGTGTGATTGCAGGCGCAATGGGCTTCTACCAGCTGCAGCTCAAGGACATCATGGCGTACCCGGACTTGCAGACGGAGGTGTTTCATTCGTTCAGGGAGGTTGGCAACAGCTTCATCATCTTCGTGCTCATCGAACAAGTCCTGGTGAGCCAACTGCAGTTTGTGCGCGCGTGCGTGCGTGCGTTGAAAGTGTAAATGAGTAGTGGGAAGGGTGCGTGCACGTGATCTTTTGCATCTTGAGTTGTCTGTGCGTGCGCGCGCGCGCGTGTGTGTGTGAAGTGCAAGTTGTCAGCCACCTCCCTACGCCTGCTGTGTTGCTTGCCATTGACATTGAACACACTCTTTCCAAAACATGCAGTCTGTGCTTGAGGTTGAAGAGACGGTGCTGGCAATGCCATTCCAAGGCGACGTGCCGTGCCTCGTCAAAGGTGGGTTCGATGAAAGGGGCAGCTGCTGTGGTGACTGCAAGCGGGTGGTGCCTGAAGAGAAGGAACGGTGTTCTGCAACGCCTACGCCCTGTCTTGCAGCGTATTCCCCTCATCACCACTCGTATGGCTCATTGTGTCTCATCGTGGTTCACTGTGGCTCTCCACACCACACCACACCACACCAAACCACACCACACCACACCACACCACACCACACCACACCACACCACACCACACCACACCACACCACACCACACCACACCACACCACACCACGGATGCGGCCCTACATCTCGTGCCAGGACGCGGCAATGGCAAAGCAGGCTGACGTGCTTACTAAGGAGCGCCTCTACAAGGGCCTCAGCATCTTCAAGAGCGTCACCATGACTTTCAAGGTTGATGGTGGAGTGTGTGTGTGTGTGTTGCTGTATATGTTCGTGTTCGTGTGAGTGTGTGTGTGTGGTTGTTGGTGGTTCTCCTTTGTGTACGTTTGGTGCTAACGCAGATGTAAACTCGAAGGTGTCGGCTCAGTACTCATCACTGCATCTTCATCACCATCTCCAACAACACACCCAATCACCCCGCCGTCCCACAACTCTGCGCTCTCTCCCTTGCCAGACGATGCTTGAGTCGGATGCCACGGATCACAGCCTCTGGTTTGGTGCAAAGGCGCCCAACGGCGTCGTTGATGTGGACGCGTGCACGAGCTTCTATCGCCTGTGGAGTGCCGTGCAATACACATCACTCGTCTCCGCCGCTTCGCGCGGTGTCGACCAGATTACGTCAGTGGTGCATTTGTAGGCGCGCGTGTGCGAGTGTGCATGTGTGAATGTATGCATGTGTGCACGTGTGCAAGTGTGTGAATGTGCGTTTGTGTTGGTGAGGTCGAATGGGATTATGCCTGCGTGCCCATGAAGCCGTTGGAAGCGGTAATACGTTGCAGGCACGCTCACACTCACGTCCATCTATGAACTTGTTCATGTGCTGTGGTGTCACACTGACTTCCCACTGCACGTCCACCCCCCAATCCGCTTTCTTACATGCAGGGAGTTTATGGGCGATGGGCTGTATTGGGCCGGCGCCGTCATCATCGCTCTCCTTGGCCACCGCGGATTGTGAGTTGAGCAGTTGGCCCGGCTTGCTCGTGGCACGTGATATGAGAGAGTGTGTGCGTGTGCGTGTGTGCGTGTGTGTGCATGTGTGCATGTGTGCATGCATGATTTGTTGGTTATTATCGTTGTTGTTGTTGTTGTGCATGATGCGTGACATGCTTGCTTGCGTGCAAAATGTGCGCGCGTAATGCCGGGTGATGCCTGCTGCGGGTTCCCTCAAGTACCGAGCTGTCCCCTCACCAGTTGCATCCTTTCCCTTCATCACGCGCCTGTTACTGTTGTGGTGAACAGGTTTGAGACAAGCGACTTCTCGTATCACATCATCAAGGCCTTTGATCTGGATCACAAGGACGAGAGCGTGTCTGGCGTGGTGAGACATACGATCCCCGCGACGCCGTACTTTGCCGTGACATGTTCGCTTACAAAAGCTGGTGCTTGCCCAACAACACAACACAATACAACACAACACAACACAACACAACACAACACACCGCACAGGCAAGGTGCCGTCCTAGTCGATGTTGCAATGCGTTTTCAGTCGTGCTCATCTTTGCGATACCCGACGTCATGCAATGCATTGTGACAGAGCGTGCCCATGTTTGTCAAGTTTGCACGGAAGCGGCGTGCCTTGAACAACGCCATCTTTGCCACCATGGAGCGCTATCTCTTCAAGAGCAAGAACAAGGCTGCAGATCCAGCATACATCCCGCCGCCAGGCTGCGGCATCGAGGTCTGAGCGACAAAGCTCAAGTGAATGGAACCCTTGAAACGCGTTTTGCACACATGTCTGATTGCTTGCTTGTGTTGCTCTCCTCTGTGCTTTGAGTGCTGTGTGGTTGGTTGGTTGGTTGGTTGGTGAAGTTGCTTTTTCATGCCGTGGCGCGAGGTGACGTGATGTGACATGACTTGCCCAGTTGCAGCTGTATGAATATTTGGTGCGCCGCTTTGTTTGCTTGAGCTCGAGCTTGGCTTTTGTGCTGTGATGCAGTGTTTGCGACACACAATGAAGACAATGAAGAAAAGCTTCACCACACCCCTTCAACACTCGGACAGCACTTTCGTGGTGGCACAAGAGACTTGTGCGTGTTTACATGACATTACTCCCGCCTCTCTCTCTCACTCACTCACTCACTCACTCACACACACACACACACACACACACACTCTCTCTCTCTCTTTCTCACTCACTCTCTCTGTGTCAGTTGCTGCAACACCACACACAACAAAAGCATTTCACATGTATGTAATGGGGCGTACAAACACGTTTACTTTAGCCAGCGGCAGATCAAATAGTATCAGTTACAATGTTGTTTCATCGCATCGGCTTCAGAACCGCACAAACTTCTTCAGCTTGCGCTTCGAATCTGTGGTCTTCTCCAGCCTGCAATGTACGCGAGTATTCAAGCGAGTGGGGGTGCGCGTGGCTGAGTGAGCTGGCGATTGTAATGTGCTTGTGCTATCGTGACATGCACATATGTGCGCCGAAAACGAAGCAACGACTTGAAGGAGGGGGGGGGTTGCACACAGCCACGCACATGTGTATGTACACACACACACACACACATACACAGACATGGATATGCACACACACACACACACACACACACACACACACACACACACACACACACACACGGACATGTACGCATACGCACACACAGAGACACAATACACACACATGCAGCGCACTTTGCCTTTTTCCGCTTCAAGTCCTCGAGCTCGCCCTCCATTGCGGAGAGCGTCTCCTGCGCTCTGCGGCGCAGTTCGCCGTGCTGCCGCTGCAACGACGGTCGGTACCGCGCAATCACCCGCTCCCGCGCCTCAATCTGCACGCAGTCGTCAGCAGGCGGGGTTGGCGTCGTGTTGTGTGATTGGGGGGAGGGGCGAGATGGGTGAGAGGGAGTGAGAGAGGCACAGAAACCCAAGCATCACGATAGCCACAACCACAGCCACAGCCACAGCAACAGCCACAGCACGTCACCGCCCACCTCATTGTAGAGGTCCATGATTTGCACATTGAGTGGTTTCCTCTGTGCAGGTTTCGCGCCAGTCTGTGTCGCTGGTGTTGTTGAGCCAGCCGCCTTGCTTTCTTCCAGCCGCTGTCGCTCTGATGTGCAAACAGGCGATGAACGGTGAGCCTTCTTAGTCAGTGCTACATGTGGTTGAAGAACAACAAGAACAATTGCAACAAGAAGGAGTTCGAAGCGACTAACACAAACAAACACACACACACACACACAGACGCACAGACGCACAGAAACACACACACCTTGCTCTTGTTGTTGTGCGGAGAGGCGCTGGTTGAGGGCGGTGTTGAGAAAGTCAAAGACGGATGGTTTCGCTTTCCGGCGCTCCGACGCTGACGAGGGAGGGGGGATGTGATGCAAGGAGCAGCGTGAACGAACAGCGTGAGCAGACGGGCTGGGAAATTGGCTAGCGACACCAATGACTAAGCAAACATGTACAGGGTCACACACATGCAGTTCTAGTCACACACACACACACGCACAAGCACACAAACACAATACAATACACACAATGCACACGAACAAACACACCAACACAATAGACACAATAGACACAATGCATGCGACATACACAATGCACACAACACACACCGATTTGAATGTTGAGGCGCCTGTTCATGATGTAATCGAGGGATTTGCCTTGAGGAAGAACCTGAACAGGTACAGGGTTCACGCGGCCTTGCGCATCACTCCCAAGGCCTTGTCCATGCTTGTATCCAAACTTGGCCAGGATCTTCGACCCAATTCCTCTGATGACAGCAATGAAATGCGACATTTGAGCCGTGTCACACAGGGTGTCAACAGCGCAAACAACTCAAGGGGGAAGTGCCTCATGCCCGCCACACACACGTACACACACACGGACACGCAGACACACAGACACACACACGGACACGCAGACATACATACACACGCACACACACACACACAGACAGACAGACACACAGACAGACAGACACACACAGACACACACAACCGTTATGTAACACAAACTCCCCCCCCCCCAATGACGCACTTGCTGTATTGCTCCCAGCTGCCAAAGTCAGCGTCTGCGGCGTCCATAACAATCGGAGCAAAGTCCCCCTCCTCCTCGGGCATTCGTGTTCCCACGGCTCTCGGCTTTGCTACACTGGCCACGGCCGAGCGGCTGTTATTTGTGCTGGCCGCTTCATGTCTCCCTTTCGCTCGTCGGTGTGCGGGCGCACCTGCCCTCTCCCTCCTTCCAGGACCGTCTTCATCACCACCATCACCAAGTGCGCCCACATCATCACCGGCTTTCGGTTTCTCCGTATCGCTGTCGCTCTCATCATCATCACCATCGTCGTCACCGTCATCGTCGTCCATTGCATTTGCATCCAGACCAGGCACGGGCCTCACCTGCTTCAGCGACACCTCCTCCAGCTGCCCGCCAAAGTGGGGGCGCACCACCACGTTTGTCTCGTCACTAACAGCCACCAGCGTGCCATAGTGCCACAGTCGCTCGTGCTCCAGTCGGTAGAGGCACAGGGAGCCCAGCGTGAGGGAGGTGAAGTCCACTTTGGCTGCGGGGCGGAGGTCGCTCACTGCGACCCGGTGCCCGTGCGAGTGCACGCACGTGTCCCCTCGCGTGCAGCGGCCCTTGAGGTAGTCGCGGCAAGGCAGCATGCTCTCGTACAGCGGCGTCACAAACAGCACGGTGCAGTGCTGCCCGTCGTCGTCCACGTCGTGAATGATGGCGTCGTGGTATGCAAAGATGCCGTAGGCAGTAGAGAATGGCGCCTGGCACCGGGTTTCAGGCACGATGGGCATGCCGGCCTGTAGTGTTGCGCCGCCCTCGGCCCTGTCCATGAGTGAGGAGCTGCTGCGCACCACAATTGGGCCGTCACCGTTCTTGGTGGCTGCGCCTGTGGCCGCTGAGGACGAGGACGAGGACGTGGAAGAGGACGATTGTCCGGCGGCCCCTGCAGAGGCAGCGGCTTCCTTTGAAGACGAGCCGTACTGCAGCTTCAAGCGCTCCTTCTTCACTTGCAGCAGCTCCGATTGATGCAGATCCATGAGCTCGTGGAGGTTCTTTCTGAGCGTGAGCACCTCTTCGTCCTTTGGGTTCAGGTGCAGCAGGCTGTCAACGGACGCCAGCTGCTCCTGCAGCTGCTTCAGCTCCTTGAGCGCCTTATCCTCCTGCGCCTGCAGGGTGACGATGACCTGTTCCCGTCGCCTCTGGCGCTCCTGCCGCTTTGCCTCCGCCTGCTTCCTTGCCAGGGCGCTGGTCGTGTCATCTGGCCTCGTCCACGATGTCTCCCCCGTCTTCACATTTACATAGTAGAACCGGCCCGGCATCGAACGCGACGCCCGCACACGCCACCCAGGCGGCACGCCAGACGACGACATGTGTGCTGCGTGATCGTGTGTATGTGTGTGTGTGTGTGTGTGTGTGTGTAGTGGTGTGTGTGTGTGTGTGTGTGTGTGTGTGTGTGTGCAGTGCTGCGTGATCGTGTGTATGTGTGTGTGTGTGTGTGTGTGCGTGTGTGCGTGTGTGCGTGTGTGCGTGCGTGTGTGCGTGTGTGCGTGTGTGTGTGTGTGTGTGTGTGTGTGTGTGTGTGTGTGTGTGTGTGTGTGTGTGTGTGTGTGTGTGTGTGTGTGTGTGTGTGTGTGTGTGTGTGTGTGTGTGTGTGTGTGTGTGTGTGCGCGCGATGTGCGCTGCTTTGTTTGTCGCTGCGACACGACAGACGGAAATGTTGTGAATGGAGTACTGCGACGCGACAGACGGAAATGTTACAAATGGTCGCCAACACAAGCCGAAATGCCGCCAAAGTTTCAAAAAACCAAAACAGCCACACGAGCGAAAGGCAGGAGCACACAGCGGAGATGGACGTGGTGCGCACGCCTCTGTCTGAGAGGAACAGAGATGACAACTCCAACAACACCAGCGGCTCCGGCACCCCGATGCAGGTGCTGCCAAAGGCAAAGTCAACTCAGGGCTTGAGGGCTTCCACAAGACAGCACAGCCTGAGCCCAAACAAGCGTCCTCACGTCCTGGGTGACAGCAGCAACCAGATGCAGCATACACCCACTCCAGCACATCAACAGGTCTCCATCACCCCTTCCCCAAAGCAACGGTCCCCGTTCAAGACCGCTTCCCCTCGATCTCCGACTCTTGTGCATCGACCACTTGTCCAGCGTGCGCGGTCTGTGCCGACGGGGCTGGGTCAGTCCCCACTCGCCAGCCATGCCACTCCTACGCAGCGCAATGCGGGCATCCCCATGTTCCACGCCAAGAACCACCACCACAACCACCACCACAAGCACCACCACCATCATAGCCCTTCTTTTCGCAAGAGCAGCAACAATAGCAATAGCAGCCCACTCGCAACACCGCGCACCCCACTCAGCGAGGAAGAGGAGGAAGAAGTGTTCTTCGGTTCCGTTATCAGCTCCGTGGAGCAGCGGCGTGTGAAGAAACTCAACGGCAGACGCCGCACCCTCCTGCAAGTCTACCACCAGGTGCGTCCTTGTGTGTGTATGTACGTGCGCATGTGTGTGTGTGTGTGCGTGTGGCATTGTGTGTATGTGTGCGTGCGTATGCATATGTACATATATATGTGTGTACGTGTACATGTGTATATGTGTACATGTATACATATTTATGTGTGTGTGTGTGGCATCGTGTGTGTGAACGTGTGTATGTATGTGTACATGTGTGTGGCGTCGTGTCTGTGCGTGGTAGGTATCGTGTTTGTATGCTTGATGCTTGATTTGGACCACCCGCATTCATTCATCCACTCATTTATATGTTTGTTCGTATGTTTGTTTGTTCATCGGACATGAACATGGCCTGTTGAATATACACCCAACTCACTCACGACCCACATCCACGGCCTCAACACGACCTTGTCGGTGGCTTTTCTCAGGGCGCCAAAGCTTCAGTCCCAGGCTCGCTTCTCAAAGCACAGCAGGTGAGCTGAAGTCAACACAGAAAGTGCAGTGGCAGGCCGCCTTGTGCATTCACGCATGCATTCATGCATGCATTCACGTGTGCATGCTTTGCAAGGTGGTGTTCTTGTCTGCTGTACCTCCTCGTGTCTCGTTGAGTCTCCTCGTTGCTGATCGTCATCCACCCCCCCCAATTCCTGTTGTCATATCTTCTCGCAATGCTCCCAATCCACATCACCAGACACGAGCTGCGGAGATTATTCAGAGTGCGTGGCGTCGATACAAATGCCACCGTTCCTTCAGGTGCCAACGGCTGCAAACAAACATGCCCATGTCCTTTGTCATTGACACCTTACTGCCACCCCGAACTCTTAGACAAACGCACACACAAATGTATTCGCACTCTCACGCTCACACGCACACGCACACGCACACGCACACGCACACATATGTATCCACGCACTCACGCTCACACACACACATCCACTCATACACGTCTCTGCACACACACACACACACATACACAGACAAGCGTTGAGTGCAGTTGTTGCCATTCAGAGATGGTATCGGCAAGTGCGACAAGCCAGGCTAGCCGCAGCCACCAAGATCCAGGTAAGAACAACCTCGCACATGCGTGCACACAAGCTTGGCTTGGATGCCTGCACTTGTGTGTGTGTGTGTGTGTGTGTGCAGTGGTGCGCGCGCATGTTCAAGTCTGTTCACACAAGCCTCTCATCGTTGCCCCACATACGGTGCATGTCTGCGTTCGTATTCACAGCGTTGGTGGCGCACCGCATGTGTGGGCGAGCTTTGTTGCCTGCAAGCATCATCACTCCTCTCCAGCCAGCGGCCGCTTCTGTCAGCCTCGCATGTTTGAAGTGCCCGGCACCGGCAATGACAGTGACAACGAGGAGGAGGAGGAGGAGGAGGAGGAGGAGGAGGAGGAGAAACAGGAGCCTGTGGCCTTTCTTCAGGAAACCCTGTGTGCGCACGCGTTCACCGCAGCAGATGTGCACGTCCTTCGCCCACAGCCAACGAAGCACACAGCTGTGCAGCAGCGCCAGCACCACCAGCAACAGCAGCAGCATGACACAATCGCACCCACCTCAGAGGTCGCTCAGGATGGAAGCTCAATTAAGTGCACGCGCGTGTGCGCCGTGTGGGCCACAAAGGCGGTGCTTCGGGATTTCTCAGGCGTTCGCGTGACAAACTTGGACGACGCTACATGCGATGAGCACAGCACGACAGTGGCCATGCAAGTGGACAGTGACACCGCTGACGAAGCAACCACAAGAGCTGCTACGAGTGCCGATACTGCCCAAACTGCTGTTGCCGTTGCGACGACGACTACTGCCGCTGCCCTTGGCGGTGATGCCTCGAAGCGAACGCCAACACTCGCACGAAAACGGCTCAACCCAACATCGCCTTCGGCGTGCCTGCTGGACAACAGCATTGCGTCGAACAGCACATGGTTGACATCAACAACAGAACCAATGCAAGGCAGTGCTCGCCCCGCACTCATCAGGAGAGCAAACACGTTCAACCTCCACACGCGCGCAGCACAGCCGGCGCGAAAGGCAGAGCGTCTGGAGACGGCACTCGTGTCGGAGGACACAGCACCAGCAGCTGCGACAACCACAGCGAAGGCGTCACCATCAGCACCACCACCAACAACAGCAACAACAATGCCGGACACACCTGTGACATTGCCCAGCGCTTCCTCTGCTGCACCGGCCGCACCAGCAGCGACGCTGCCTCAGGGGTCGCTACTGCCACGCCCCGTGGCCAGCGCTTCTGCTCTTTCAGCTGCGTCCACGCTGGCCACAGCTGCCTCTGCGGAGCACGCGGGCGATGCCATGCTGGTGGCGAAGCGACAGCTTTTGCAGCGTATTCGGTCAGAGCGCAAGCGCTTGGAGACAGAATTGCTTGCATGCACATCGACACCGGCAACACCAACAGCCACTCCGACGACCACCAGCACCAACAACGACGATATCAACAGCAACAGCAACAGCAACAACAACAGCAGCAGCAACAGCAACCACAGTAGTGTTGATGACATCCAAGTCAACAAACGTGTGTTTGGGCAGCCGATGAGCGTTGATGAAAGCTTCGACGGCGTTCCGTCCAGCACCAGCACAAGCAGCGACGGGCGGACGCTGTCGCTGAACCGAATGCTGCAGCGTGGACGAATCAACCTGCTAGCAACACTGCAGCCAGCTGTGGATACGGCGCAACAGCGCGTCGACACGAACACAGGCGACAACAACAGCCAAAGCCACGGCAACAACCAGCGTCAATCCATCGAAGCCGCCACCACGGCTGACAACACCAACAACAACGACAACCTGGCAGTGAACATCAGCGTGAGCGTCGATGACGACAGTGGCGTGATGTCCAAGGATGGTGCATGCGAGACGGTGTCCCCCACACCCATTGCGAGTGTGCGGTTTATTCCCTCGTCGCCACTCCCGCTGAAACCTGTGGCTGATGACTGCAACAAGGAAAACGTCGCCCCAAGCAACAACCAGGCGAGCCACAGCAGCGGCAATCTCAGGGATGCCATCCCCAACAGCGGCTCAGCCGCGGACACCGCCACCACCACGGTCACCACCACCACAACAAGCAAGCAGCCTGTCTCTGTTGACGGTGCCTCTGAGACACCCGCACCTTGCATCATCTCTGCGGCGCCAACGCTGCTTCGACGACCACGTGCACTCCGTGGGTCCCTGGTGCGGCCGTCCGCTCGTCGCCCCTCGCGCGGCAACAGCACCCGGCGGCTTGGTCCCGCTGCGCCAAGCACGCTGTCATCATTTGCGTCAACAGCGACATCAGCTTCAGCAGCAGCAGGAACAGAACAGCACCAGGCGCGCAAGCCGCTGTTGCTGCGAGGTGGACTGCTTGCACGCAGTGACGGCAGTGGGAAGCAGCAACGCCAGTTGCTTCTCGGCAAGTTGTCAACAGCTTCAGGCTCTTCCCTGAACAACGCGACGACGGAAAGAACACCAACAAGCACACCAGCAGCTACGTCAGGTACCACACCGAGTGAGGGCGGTACGCCTGCGCCAACCACTGGCACATCAACACCGCATCCTCACCGCACGCTCCGTTCCACGGCGCTGGACTCCAAGGACAACGACATTCGCTTTGTCACAAAGCTCAACACAATGCGCAACAGCAAGTACGCCGTTGTCAAGTTTGTGCTGCCAGACCCCCACGACTTTCAGGCACAAGAAGAGTTTCTCAGACAGGTGTGTGTGTGCGTGTGCGTGTGCGTGTGCGTGTGCGTGTGCGTGTGCGTGTGCGTGTGCGTGTGCGCGTGTGCGCGTGTGTGCGTGTGCGTGTGCGTGTGCGTGTGCGTGTGCGTGTGCGTGTGCGTGTGCGTGTGCGTGCATGTGTGCGTGTGCGTGCATGTGTGCGTGTGCGTGCATGTGTGCGTGTGCGTGTGCGTGTGCGTGTGCGTGTGCGTGTGTTTGAACACCTTGCACATGTCGTTCGTTGCTCTCCTCACATTGTTAGAACAACACGAACAAACAAACAAACTCCCGCATTGCTTGTTCTCAGGTTGACGCGAAGGAGAGCACAGACGAGAGTGGCGTTGACTACACGCGCATCCGCTGGCACGAGCACTTGGAAACCACGGAGAAGAGCACTTGCCCGCACAATACGACGCCCACAAACATGCGCTCACTGCTGAAGCAACGCGGGGACAACAGCCCCTTCCCATATGGCGAGGACCTGGAGACGGTGGAGATTAAGGTGCTGCCGCGCATCCGCCCTGCCCGCCGTGGCTCAGGTGTCACGCGCAGGCGAGATGCAGCAGGCCTCCCCGGCGATGATGACGCCTCTGACGCCGCGTGGGTGTGATGCTGGCCTTGACATGATTGAGATGGGTGGGTGGGTGATCGCTTCATGTGTGTTGGCGGTGGGTGCGTTGTTCATTGCTCGATCGGTGTTGTTGGTGTTGTTGGTGTTGTTCATACCTCGATGGCTTGCATGAGAGAGGAGAGAGGAAGGCGAAGACAGAGAAACAGAGAGGGTCACTGTAGACAGCCCATGATGTTGGAAAGAATGAATCAGCAAGCAGCCAGCACAAGAAAGCACAAGCGCTTTTTCCTTGCGCACAATCGCACAAACAAGCAAGCAAACAGCAAGAAGGACAGCAGCGAACACACAACGACGTTGCAGAAGCAGGCGTTATGTTCTCGCTGCAGAGAGTGGTGTTTGATGAGGCAGCGGAGCGGCTTGTGGCAGCACTGGCAGCGTCCAGGCCAGGCAAGAAGGAGAAGAAGACCAAGACCAACTTTCTCTGCCTCACAGGTGGGGTGCACTGCGTGTGGCTATAAAGGGAGGCGGGTGGAGGGGGGGGGGGAGTGGAACAACGCTTGTCGCGACTGTGTTTGCCACCACTGTCAACGCCACGCGAGTTCACACTCTCGCTGACACTTCCGTTCCCACGCTGGTTACCACGCGAGTTCATCCTCTCGTGATCGCTGTCTTGACCTGCAACGCAACACCTGTGTGCCCCCCCCACCTCCATTGTGCCTCACAGTGAAAACAAACGAGTCCTTCCTGCATCGTGTGAGGGTGACGACGGACGAGAGCTACACAAAGAAGAAGACGTGGCCGCTGCAGGCGCTGACGGCCATCGACAACGTCGCCCCAGACTCGCGCCAGTTTATCCTCACCTTTGACCGCAGCTATGAATGGATCGCCCCCAACGTCACTGAGAAGCAGCGCTTCCTCGAGGCAATCGTCAAGGTGCGTGCGTGCTTGAGGGAGGGTGGGTGCGAGGAAGAGGTCTGTCATTATGCTTGAATATGAGTGCTCATGGGTATGCGTTCATAATGTGAGCGTATGTATTGGCTTGCGTTGGCTTTGGCGTCTTGTACGGTTCACTGCCGCACCTCCATCGCATCTTTGGTGCCCTTGGTTCTTGCTTGCTTGGCTTCCAGTCGTGCCGGAGGTACAACAAGACGTTGCCGCAGTTGGCCAACTTCCAGTCCATCCCTGGAGGCGGTGGGTGCATGCCTCTGCAAGCTGTGCAAGCTGTGCAAGTGACGACACATGCATGGGGGTGATGCACTTGTCACCTCCTCCTCCTCCTCCTCCTCCTCCTTGCACATTGACAACTGTCTACAATCCATGTGTTGTCTCACATGGCGTCACATATCCACGCGCATCACGCCACTGGCCACGATAACCAGGCATCACCGTGGCCCTCCATGAGCACATGCCCTCCGCTGTACCTGACGGTGAGATACGCGACCGCAAGGCGCCATGCCTGCCACACACACACACACACACACACACACACACACACACACACACACACACACACACACACACACACACACACACACACACACACACGCACGCACGCACTGGACACGTGCACGTTATGCAAGGGTTATTGTGCACTGCCTCGCCACGTACCGCATGACAATGGTGTACACATGCGCGCAGAGAACCAGCAGAGCGACGATGACCCATATCAGGAGAGCGCAGCAGCAACGCTGTCAAAGCAGCAGCAGGAGGAGATGGCTGCTGTCTTTGAGAAGTACGATTGGGCAACAACAGATGTGCGCGCACTCTCGGAATCCCTGCAGAAGGAACTGCAGGCTGTCGAGTCGGTACGGTGCTCATGTGCGTGTGTGTGTGTGCGTATGCAGATGTCTGCATGTGTGTGTGTGTGTGTGCGTGTGCGTGTGTGCGGATGTCTGCATGTGTGTGTGTGTGTGCGCGTATGTGTGGGTGTGTGCCATGCAACGGATCCACTTACACCTCATCCTCTTCTCCTTGCTGCGGTTCCAACATCCAACAGGCCAATGTTCACGCAATGATCTCGTCAGAGGTGCAGGTGAGCCGTCAATCAAACACGCACACCCACGCACACATGACACGGAGATTGCACATACACACATACGTACACAGTGAAGGCGGTCGGAGTCACCTCATCGTCAAGCTTGCACTTACCACGCGCGCGCGTGTGTGTGTTTGTACGTGTGTGCGGGTATGTGTGTGTATGCACAGGTGACGCGGCTGCTTGGGCGGGTGGACGATGCGTTGTCAAAGCTCGATCGTCTGGAGCAGTGCATCTCGGACTACGACGGTATTGTCAAGGTGTGGCCTGATCCTGCTCTCTTGCATCGCCCCATCTTGCACGTATGTGTGTGTGTGTGTGCGTGTGTGTGTGCGTGTGCGTGTGTGATGTTCCTATTTCCTTTGAACCACGACGACTCACACACACACACACACACACACACACACACACACACACACACACACACACACACACACACACACACACACACACACACACACACAAACACGGAATTTTGTTGCTTCACACAAACACACGCGCGGGCGGATCTATAGACATTATCAATATCCCACGGAACACTTGTCACTGTCGGAGAATACACACCGCGTGTGCTCTCTCTACACATGTCGCTCTCGCTATGTGTGTGTGTGTGTGTGTG